CCCGCAGGCGCTGGGGGCTGCTTTGTGTCATGAATCCAGGGAAGCTAGGCATTTCTGTGGGGTGCGCGTGCCTCCTGCCGGGCACTTGAGAAGCTGCAGTCGCGGGGCAGGACCAGCGCCGCCATGCCGCGGCTCCCACCGGGGGCGGCTAGGTGGCGCTGTCCCACCTGAAAACTTGTTTCCTGGGTCAGACCGGGAAACTGAGGCCGGAGGAATTTTTAATCCGCTGTAGCGCCCTCTGAATGCTCCACAGTGGAGTTGCTAGATAAAATACAGTACTGGCAGTTAAATATGAATTTCATATAAACAACGAATAATTTTAGTTATATCCCAAATATTGCATGGGATATACTAAAATTTTTTTCATTGTTTATCTGAAGTTGAAATTAACTCCTCTTCCTACCCACCCAGAGCCCTGGGGCCCCTCCTCACCCCTCCCAGATGGGCTGTATTGCCATATGACTGGCCCTCGTAGCCCAAAAGATTAGAAGAACAGTCACAATAATGAAATCATAAATTGAAAGCAATCTCCAAATACCTTGGACCATATTCCTTCCTGCTGAGACGCTTCCCATGGCTCCCATCAACCTGGGGAACAACCCAACTCACCCCGCTGTTTGCAAGGTTCCCCCCACTTCTCCCCTCATCCATTTCCCTTCCTCAGGGATTGAGGTCTCTGGTCTTGAGTGTTGGGGTGTGGTCTTGTGCAGCCCATCCCCTAAAGCATGTAGCATTGCCATCTTCTCAGTCATTCCCCCAAACTGCCCCCTCCCCCAGATTGCAGGCCTGCTGTCGGGGGAGTCCCAAGCCCAGGAGACAGGTCCAGGGGAGCTGCTCTTACCCCAGGGCCCAAGTCTGCCCACCCCTGGCAAGATCCCAGCTTCTAGCTCCAGGGCTGCCTATAGTCTAATAGCGGCAGTGTCAGGGAGGCCTCCACCTTTAGGCTATTAAACACCCAGCCCCAGATGTTGCCCTCCCCACACACACACCTAAGGGAGGGGCCCAGAAGTCAGCCTGGGGAGGGGCACTTTAGAGACTTAGGTGAGCTGGGGAAGGAAGCCACCATAAAGGGCCAGGCCCCAGCTCAGCTCTAAAGTGCAGGGAAGCCCCCTCCACACCCAGAAGGAGTCAAACATCAGAATACGCCCCTGCCCCACCTCAGGCAGGTACACTGGCTTTCCTGTGCCTCCATTTCCCCCTCTGTAAAATGGGTCAATATTAATTCATTCCTTGCACAGTAGTTCTGAGGACTACATTTCCTTCTGTTATAAGAGAAGGGTGAATGGAGGTCCCCTCCTCATTCCCCTTCAGCCCTACCTGCCTCTAGGGATTTCTCAAATCCACCAAGCATATACTGTCTCAGGGCTTTGCACCAGCTGTGCCTTTCATTTGGTGTGCTCTTCCCCTACCTCTGAGTTCAGTTCACATTCCCTGGCCTCAGCTTCTCCAGGAAGCTTTCCTGGACTCATCCACACCAAGGTCAGGTTTCCAGTTACTCACGATAGGCACATATTTTTCCTCCATAACCCTTTCCACTGCTATCACATTGAATCTCTCTAAGTAATTTGTCACTTACTGACCCTGTTGCCAACTAGACAGGGGGTTCCATACTAGTGGAGTCGGGGACTGTTCATTGCTACTGTGTGGCCCCAGTCCCTACCACAGAGCCTGGCACACAGAAGGGGCTCCAAAAACAGTGTTCAGCTGAATGGATGTGAAAAGAAACAAAGGACACACCCTGTATCTGCAGCTTTAAAATGAATCCCCTTTGTCAATGTCCCTTTTAACCCTTTAACTTTTTTTTTTTTTTTTTACCTTTTGTTTCGAAATTATTGTAGATTCTAACTTCTAATGCAGAGAGAGGTCCCATACCCTCACCAGTTTTCCCCTAGGGTAACATTTTACAAAACTGAAGTACCATATCACAATCAGGACAGCAACACTGATGAATTCAGCCATACTATTTGACTTCCCCATTTTGCTTGTACCAGTGTGTATGTATTTTGTTCCCTACAATTTTTTTCTAATCCTCACCAGGAGATATGCTCTTTTACTGACTTTTTTTAGAGAGAGAGGAAGAGAGAGGGAGAAGGAGAGGGAGAGAGAGAAACAGCGATGTGAGAGAGACACATCTACTGGTTGCCTCCCTCAGGCAACCCCAACCCAGGTACGTGCCCTTGACCAGGAATTGAACCCGAGACCCTTTGGTGTGCGGGTTGACGCTCTAACCACTGAGAAATACCGGCCAGGGCTTAAATTATATTTTGAATTTCTTTTTCACAGAGAAATCCTGCCGTTCACTGTGCACACACCTCCTCTTTTAATCCCCACAGCACACTTGGTTATTCATTCCACAAATATTTATTCAGCCTTACTGTGCACTGGGTCCTGGAGACACTTGGGGGACCAAGTAAGACATGTTCCCAGAAGGTACAGCACAAGGATGTTAGAGCTGTGATGGAAAGTCAGATGGGGTGCCTGGCCCAGCCTGGAGGGATCTGGGAGGACTTCCTGAGGAGGAGGCAGCTGACCTGAGACTTGATGGGCGAGTGAAGGTACACCTGGCACAACAGAGGGAGCTGCGTGTATAATGGCCCAGAAGCAAGAAGAATGGCAGCAGTTCAGGAAGCCAGAGGGAGATAGTGATTTGAGGGAATTGGGGGGAGGAGAGAGAGGTGGGCAGGGCCCATGAGCAAAGAGGAGAATTTTACCCTCACATCCAGCCTAGTCTGGAGGACAGGTCTTGAAGACCGGAACAAACAAGCCTTAGGCCAACATCAAAACAGCATGATGTTCTACCCTCTTGGTTTCATATTAATATCTCCACAAATCTGGATGGTTTGGAGAGCCATAACGTCCCCAAATAATTTGGGAAGATCAGCAGGGTGTCCCTCTTACAGGACCCTCACCTCCTCCCAGCCAGTCCCATCTTGCTCACTATCCATCAGGGTGAGCTGACTCTGCCTGGCACTGGGAGGTGGTAAGCGACACCCCCCCACACACACGCAATGGGAGGCAAGAGCTGCCCTTCCCCCACCTGACCAGAGTGTGCAGGACACAGGTGGCCCCACTCTATGGGGTCCTGACCCGCTCCAGCTTCAGTCCCTCCCCAACCTCCAGCCCCTCCACCATGATTTCACCCTCTCTTCTATCCCCAGCCCCACTGGCAGAATCAGCTTTGAGTAACTGTACAGTTTTTCTCCCTGATGGAGATTTATCTGTTGGAGTTTCACTTGTTTAATGGTCTGGGCTTATTTTGAAAAAATTAACAAAGAGAATAATAATACTTTGGACAGACTGGGGCCCTCCAAGATATGGGCAGTTGTCTTTCAGCGCAATGAAGCCTTCAGCTTGCAGGGCTGTTGGGGAGGCTTCACATGCAGCCCTAACCCACCAGAAGGTGGGGTTCCTCCCTGCCCTTATGGAATCTGAGTGGGATTCTGACAGCTCAGTGTGGAAAAGTGACGTTTTAGGACTCCTGAGCCCAGGCCTCAGGAAGCGTGTAGTTTCTGCCTCTTCTCAGAAGTTTCTGCCAAGTAATGTCTTTTTTTCCCAACCCGCCATCCAGGGAGAAAGCCCAATGGCCTCAGAGGAGCTCTCGCGGGCCACTAGAAGGAAGCCTACTCCCAACTTCCTGGTCCAGCCAACGGGGCATGGTCCCAGCACCACCAGGCTGAGTCCCATCACCCCACAGAATAGTAAGAGATAATAAACGGCTGCTGTTCTGAGACCCCCTGTTTGGGCTAGTTTGTTACACAGTGATCAATCCTGCATCTTCCACAGCAGCTCTATGTACTGTACCACAGGGAGGTTTTATTTACTCAGTGACACCGAGGTGTTCCCAGCCAGGATGCTGGCCACTCTCCAGGTAGCAACAATAACAGCCTGGTCCTCCAATTTAAAGATGTGCAATGTGTTCACATTTAAAATTGTTTTTTATTGATTGATTTTATTTTTTTATTTTTTAAAAATATATCTATCGATTTTAGAGAGGAAGGGAGAGAGATAGAAACATCAATGATGAGAGTCATTGATTGGCTGCCCCCTGCACCCCCCCTCCTGGGATCCAGGCCACAGCCCAGGCAAGTGCTCTGACTGGGAATTGAACCTCTATCTTCTGGATCATAGGTCCACAGTGAACCACTGAACCACCCCAGCCGGGCTTATTTATTTTTTAAATATGTTTTTATTGATTTCAGAAAGAGGAAGGGAGAGGGAGAGCAAAATAAAAACATTGATGAGAAACATGGCTAGGCTGCCTCCTGCATGTCCCCTAGGGGGATCCGTGGGCTTCATTTATTGATTTTAGAGGATGGGGGGCATCAGTTTGTTGTTCCACTTAGTTATGCATTCATTGGTTGATTCTTGTATGTGTCGTGTGTCTGTGTACCGTGTCCC